GATCCCCAGCAGTTCTTCCTGGATTTTGTAGAACTTCTTATGAAGTGCAGAGCTTTCAGGATCCAGGGTCCTGGGACAAGATAGAAAAGAACTGTGGAAGGTAGGAGGGAGTAAGCAAATATTAAAAGTGTTTCTTTACAGCAGAAAAGAAAAGGCAAGAAGCCTTCTGGTATGGACTGGATGTTTGTGTTCCCCCAGATTCCTATGTGGAAGCCTTAACCCCCAGTGGGACAGTATTTAGAGATGGGGCTTTTGGGGGTACTTCAGTTTAGATGAAGTCATGAGGGTGGAGCTCCCATGATGGGATTGGTGTCCTTCTAAGAAAAGGAAGAGACCAGAGATCTAGTTCTCTCTCCCTTTTCTCTCTCCCTCCCTCCCTCTCTCCCTCCCTCTCTCTCCCTCTCTCTCTCTCTCTCTGCCATATGAGTACATAGCAAGAACACGTCTGTCTGCCAGCCAGGAGGAGAGACCACACCAGGAAAGGAATCAGTTGGCACCTCCATCTTAGACTTAGAGCCTCCAGAACAGTGAAAATAGACTTCTGTTGTTTGAGCCACCCAGTTATGGTCAATACATGTGGTTTGCTCGAATGACTGGCTCAGTGACTGAGTGAGATCATGCGCTGGAGGCAGTTCACACAGGCTGGGAGATCACCTGTGAACATCTCCTCTCAACTCCGTATTTAGTGATGTGTTGGCAGCTTGAACTCAGCCATGGTGGGAACGTTTACACCAGCGGAATAGGCCAACACTATAAATCAGGGCCTCCCCTGATTTATAGCAGAGAACCAGTTACTTAAGATTTACCAGCATACCACTACGTCAATTAGATGAAATCCTTGTGTGAGCAGAGTTCCCTGGAATTCTCACGTTCAGAATCAACCTTAACTCTTGTTGTTGCTATTTCTGTTTTATTTACTAGTGCACGATGACAACTCTTCCATTCTCTTTCATGACCCGTCCAGAATTACTCAGCATTTGTGGACTCTCCTGGCAAACTACCCATCACTTAAAGCATGGTTTCGTTGGGGAAGTATTTCAAGTTGCAAGTTACTGACTTTAAAGTAAACTTTTGGAAAAGAGCCCCTGTGTGGGTTAGGGACTTTCAATTCTGGGTCCTTGTGGGGAAGTGAGAGAATGAAAAGATTCCTGTTGATTTTTAAAATAGAGGTTGCAAAATATAGCCTAAGCGAAAAGGCAAAAAGAAATGGAATTATTGAGCGTTAGGAGGAAGAGATGAGGAGCAATTTAATAACGGGGTGAGTACCAGCTATTTGCTTCTCCATGGTAAACATCAGGGACTTGGTCAGAAGAGGGCAAGAATATCTCTGTGGTATTATTCTGGAATGGACAGTTTGTGGATTTTATTCCAAATATTTGCACGCTTCTTTTTGTCAATCAGGGGTCCATTTCGAGAACCAAGAAATGATTACAACGAGGTTGCTTGCCTGCCTCAAGGTTCCTGGCATCCTTACGATCCTGAATCTCCAGGTGGCGGACTGTGGCTCGGAATTTGGGGAAACATGATATAATTCCATAAATCTCTTTTGTAATACATCTTAGAATAACGAGACTCCAAATTTATCATTTTTTTATCCAAAAAATGAATATCCTAAAACTTAAGCTATCCTATCTTAGCATTCTACATCAATAATTTTGATCATCCAATGAGGGAAAAGATGTTATTTGGGGCTTGTTAAATTAGTGTTAATTTTAGTTATTCCTTCAGGAGGGATGGGAGTATTCCTTTCCTAAATGATATTACACAGCCTGATTTGGCATTTCCTTAAAGCTGCCTGAAACACTGAAATGATGGCTATAAATATGCCACTTCGAAACTGAAATGGTTCACAGCACTCCCAGGCCCTGGTTTAACAGTTGGTTTATGATGTGGTTTCAGAATAACACTTTTAAGCATGGTATTTTCCTTCCTCCAAAACTGACATGAATCCATAAAGCTTTATAACGATGACTCTAAAACACACCAAAAGTATTCTCGGTGGCATATTTTTTGATTTATCTAAAATCCTTCACTTTCTGAATTTCTCTTCATGATCTGCCTTGGAAGGGTGGTCGCCACTGGAGCTGAAAAGTGCGTCCTCTCTCGGCCCGACGCCCACTCGGCTACTTCTCCGCCAGCTGCGCTCTCCCCCCTCGGCCTTGGCTCCCAGGATCTCAGACTCCTGTGTGCACCAGCATGGTCTGGGAGTCTGTTATGCATGCTGATTCTCAAGACCCTCTGAGTCAGGCCCTCTGAGCTAAATTCCGGAGCTAGGCCTGGGGACCAGCATTTTTACGGAGAAACGTTATCGGGGACTTGGTTGGGCCCCCACTCTGGAAGTGCAGTGACTGGAGAGAGTCTGGCTCAGGGAAGCCCAGGATCTTGCTGGCGATGCGTGGCAACTAGGTGCCTGGGGCCTCCAGGCTTTACCTGCTTCCTCGGCCTCTGCTGCCCAGAACCCCTCCGTAGGCCCAGGTTCTTTGTGCCTTGATCTTGAGTTTCAAGTGCCACACACGTTTATCTCGTCCTATACCTTGTCCCTTTCTGTCTGCCTCTGGCTTGTTCGGACTCTGGCCTGGATCTCGAGCCTTTCTCCCTGCTCCCTCCAGGTGCCAGACCCATCTTTTCTCTCCTGCATGGCCCAAACAGGTTCTCAGATAATGACCCCTCATCCTCTGGGAGACCCTCTCTGTGGCAAAGGGAACCCCTTGGCATGTCTGCTGCAGGTGACCGGACCTGCCTGCTCTCCTTGATTTCCCCCCGCGCAGCCCTGCCATCCGTCACAGCAGCTCAGAGACGTCACAGAATGTCCGTCTGTCCCACTAGGCTCTGAGCTGCTGAGGGCAGGGATCACCTCCTTTTCCTTCATTGTTTCCTCGACACCCAACCTCAAATGTAGTGGGGCACTAATGAGTCTTGTATTAACAACTGATGTTGTAAAAAGAGTCTGTGACTTTCACCCGAGGCATGATGCTCTGTTGCACCATCTCCACTCCAACTGTTGACGTGTGCTTCTCCCTCAGCTGCAAAGCTAGTCTTCCTTCCACCTTTACAAAGCTACTGCCGCTGGCTCTTTGGGTCCCAGGTTCCATGCCTTTTCCCCCGAGATGTCTTCCTCGGCCCCTGGAGATGGGGCTGGTGCCCCTCGTGTTCCAGAGCCCCCGTATTACCTGGCCCTGCGCCCACCACACTGCTTCCGATGATGCCTAGAATCCCCTAGATCAAGGGCTGTTTGGGCGCGGGGATGGTAACCTCGGCACCCAGCAGAGTGCCTGGCGTGCGGACGGCACTCGACAGATGTTTGCTGAGAGCACGGAAAAGCCAACTCAGGATCCTCCAGGCAGCGAGGTGGGGGTTCTTATCACATAACCTGCTGAGCGAACCTCTGTAACACTCACCAGAAGGACTTCAAATTGTTGACATGTGTCCTCCCATGCCCACTGCTGGACAGAAAGGTCTCAAGGGTGACGGCGACATTATTTTATATGTCTGACATCCCAGTGAGTCCTTCAGTGGCTAGTGTGGATTAAGTATTGTTTAAGTATGTGTTTCCCATCAAAGGTACCTTTGGCATTTTGAGCAAGACAGTTCTTAATTATGTAAGACAGTCTCACACATTGCAGGCTGATTAACAGGTTAACAGGTCGGTTAGCAGGTTAACAGAGCCCAGATCCACCCACAGGTGCCTGATTCCAGACCCTGATTCACTACGCTGTGCCGACTCTATTCGAGACTTATTTAACGAGAACAAACTTCCAAATTTCCAGGTGTAAAAATCCTTTTGGATTTGTCCTCTCCTTTTAATGACAACATAATGCTGTGTTTCCCAAAATATATTCTGCATAGTGTTGATCTAGTGGATGTCAAGTGTTGTGTGAGCATAACCCAATCCACAGGCAATGAAGTTTGAGAAAGCCTTCCAGAAGGGCACCTGCAGAGGGCAAAGGAACGGTAACTGGGAAGACCAAACAAAGCTTGATAGGGAACCTCAGCCTTTCATGCTGAGGTAGGAGGTAATTTAACAATGGGAGAATCAACAGAGGAGCTGGTCTGCCAGGAAGTGATTAGGAACCAATTAGCGGGTACATGGGTGGCTCAGTCGGTTGGACGTCTGCCTTCAGCTTGGGTCATGATCTCAGGGTCCTGGGATCGAGCCCTGCATTGTGCTCCCTACTCAGCGGAGAGTCTGCTTCTCTCTCTGCCCCTTGCCCCCGCTCATGCTCTCTCTCTCTCTCTCAAAAAAATAAAAAAAAATCTTAAAAAAAAAAAAAGGAACCAATTAGCAATGAGTAGACCGTCGACAGAGACCAATGAAGGGTTAGTGACTGTTCTTCTAATTTCATAATAATACCAATAATAATAATAATAATAGGTACTATTTCCTTGGTGCTGATCATTTCATATTATCTTTTATTTTCTCCTTTTCACCTATGAAATACTGAGGCCTAAAGCAATTGGTTAAATAACTTCCTATAAAGCCACACAGTAATTAATTAATGGTCATATTTGAACCCAGTCCTCTCAAACTTCACATCTTATGATTTTAAGCACTGTCCCCAAAGCCCAAAGGGACTTGTCAAGGGCTCTCCCATGCAAACATCCAGAACAACCCGTGAGCTCCTTAAATTGGTATTTGTGATAAACCACTGCCTTTATTTTCAGGGTACCTCTTCAACCTAGATTTATTTGGCCTAAGCCCTGTACATGGAAATTCTTTCTGGTATGATTTCAGTTTCTTAATTTTTATTAATATATTTTTTTAATTTACAAATCTCCATGCTCTATTACATGCTTTTTTTTTTTTTTTTGATAGATGATCCATGTTGATGAAATAAGGCCCATCTCTATAGAAAGTAGCCCCATCTGATCCCCTCCTGGAGGCAGGACCTGCCTTCCCTGAACAACAAAATTAACCGTCTACCCAACTTTAAAGTGTTGGCAGTATCAGCATCCGATTTCCCTTCATTTGTCAATTACCTCCACCCTTTTCGTTTCAACAGATGTTGGCGCATTTTTTGAAGAGGGAATGTGGCTACGGTACAACTTCCAGGCACCGGGGGTCAGTGGCAAAGAATCGGGCGGCCGGTCAGACAGCTCCCCTGATCAGCAGAGCGCCCCTCCCGATCTGGCCCATGAGGGGATCCACTTCAGCTTCAGTACCTCCAAGGCGCCCTGCATTCTCCTCTACGTCAGCTCCTTCACAACAGACTTCTTGGCCGTTCTCATCAAACCTGCCGGTAAGGACAAGGATGCCTAGCCTCTGCTATTTAATGTTGGGTGAACAGAATGTTCTAGAAGGTCTGGATTGCTCTGGTCTTGTCCTTTATTTTCCCCAGGACGTTGAGCAAGTCATCCAAATACTTTGAACCTCATTTCTCTACATGAGAGCCAAAAAAGCTACTTGTCAGTTGAGTGCCTCCTAGCAGTGTGTCATAGTAGTAATGTTGCTCAGGCATGTCAAGTTCTTTATGGGAAGCGTATTAGTATTACACGAATATGAGATTGCTTCGTATGTATAACGATGATTTTTTTATTCCCGTCAAATGAATACATGCACTGCTGTACTAAATAGAGATGGGCTCTGAAGTAGTAAAATTCATTTAACATAAACCAATGAGTTATCCTGATTTATGATAATGTATCAGTAGGTTCCTACAGAACATATGTAGCTTTCAATAGAAATAGAAGACCAGAGTTGTTTTCATTCCTAAGCCCTCTCAGAATTTTACATTCATAAAATATATCCCTGGCGTAAGGGTTGGTTAAAGCAGGAGCATATTTACACTTGAATGTCTGGGACCATCGTGATCTCCAAATATGCATGGAGCGCGAGAGGGTCAGAGTGAGACTAAAATCAGTGTATTGTGAAAATAGACAAGTGCGCTTACGACCTTTAAGAGAAGTCTGAGCAGTTCTGAAACACAGGAGCGTGCCCAACACTGAGGGGGCCATTCCTCTCAGAAAACTTGAATACTGACACACTTAGAAGATCGCTTTTTCACAAATAAGAATAGTGTAGGTTGATCAGGGAGCAAATCTCTCTCATTCACTTCCCAGAGAGATGACATGGGCTGAGAATGTGGAGACAGCCTGTCTCATTGCCCACACCTCCTAGCTCTGCACTGAGTATAAACTTCTTTAAAAAGCTAAGACTTCTTAAAGATCAAGATTAGCTTCTGTGGGAGCAAAAATTCTTATTACAAACCCAGGTCAGCTTGAGTTTTAAAACATAGTAAATTCTTAAGCTTCTCTGGTCAATTCACTGTTGGTGTTAAAAAGATTGGGAACAGAGGGAGTATTTCCTAAGATTTTTCCTTTCAGAAATTATTCCTAAAGAAATAAGTCAAAAATCAGACAAAGATGCAGCATGAGAATGTTCCTCTTAGTGTTATTTATAAAAATAAGCATTAAGAAAGACCTACAAGTTCAACTGTAGTAAAATGGTTAGTAAAAGAGGGAGTCACCATTTTAAGGAATATTATGTATCCATTAAGAATAATATTTGTGGGTAGCAATGGAGAAAAAAACATGGAGAAAAAAATTATGTAATACAATGTTAAACCAAAAAGAAAAAAGAAAGGAAGGAAGGAAGAAAGAAAGAAGAAAGAAAGAAAGAAAGAAAAAAGGCAAGATAGAGCCTTGACTATACAATATCGGCTTAGCTCTATGAAAAATACGGATGGAAACCAAAAAGCAATAACATGAGCACAAGGTGCCTCTTGCTGGTCGATTTGCTTCTCCTCAGTAATACTCTTTTATAAATGTCAAATCCTCACAATGAGCAAGCGTCACTGTTGTAATCAGAAAAGATACTAAGTAAAATCAATGAGAAAGCAGAAGAAAAAAGGACATAACCCCGGCTTTCCAGAAGTTCACGAGTTGAGTTTACTTCTCCTGGATCAGGTTAAATCGATTTTTAATCCATTGATGTTCTCCACCCACAAGCCCCAGCCTCTCGGTGCCCTCACCAAGGTGAGGTGGTTCTCACATATGGCTCATCGAGACATCATGAACATGTCCCGGAAGATGCTGTATTGTCTACTACTTAAGTCACTGCCACATTAAAATTTAGTCCCCAACTAAATTTTATCCGTATACTCGGTAACTATATTGGTACCGATATCAGTAACTATATCAGTAACTGACATTCCCATAACCTAGCCCGTCTCCGTGAGCGCTCATGCTGGTATCCATGGGCGTTCATCGTGTGCAAGGGTTTTGAGTAATCAGTTCCATATTGGTGCTACCATTTAATGATGCCCGACGGTGTGCTATGTTGCACACGCATTAATTCCTACAAGCCACACAACCACGAGGTAGATATCATTCTTTATCCCCTGTCAACAGATGGTAAAACTGGAGTATGGAGAGGGTAAGTGACTTGCACACTCAGCTGGTGGAGGCAAAACCAGAATTTCTAAGTTCAGGTGTCTGATTCCAGGCCCCGAGACCTCTACCACTCTTTCCATAAGGCAGAGATCTCTAGCACACTCTCAGCACATTTGGAAAGCACGACCAGTTGGTTTCTTTTTAACTTTGCAAGGCCTTCTTCAAACTGCTGATGAAAATGTGTTTTTTTCACATTTCAAAGACTTCGTTTTTTATTAATTGATATTTAAAGTTAGAAAAATGAGAAGAAAGCATTCCGGGGAAAAAAATCAATAAGGACTATGTCAAAATATCAGGAAAAAAATTAAAAACTAGAAAGTCTTAACTAATTGCCCTGGCACCCCTCAAACTTAACATATTGAAAGCCGTATCACCATTATGGTTCCCCCAAAACTGGTCCCTCCTCCAGACCCTCTGCTTCTGCCAGTGCTGCCCCCTCCAGACACCTGAATTCCCGAGTGTGCTGTCATTCACAAATTTCCCCTTTGGGGGGCCACTCAGGCAAACAGATCCTGCAAAGTCTCGTCACACCGTGTCCGTCGGGGGTATCTCTTTCTTTTCTTTCCCACTGCTGGTCTCCTGGAAAACGTCTTCTAATTCAGTGCTTCCTGACATTGTTCCTGCCCTGGCACCCATAGGTTATTACATTTGAAATGGCACTTGAGTAAACGGACGAGGCCATTTGTCTTTGGGAGGCCACCAACCCAGGGACCCCAGCAGCCCAGCCTGCCGAGGGTCTGCCGAGGTCTGAGGGGCGCCCAGCTCCTGGCACCTGTTAGCCTTTTATGGAATAGCAGTGCGCCTCAGACCCATCCCTCTCCCTGCTTCCGGTCCATCCCCCCCTCGCTCTTACCCACCAGGGTCTTCATACGCAGTGTCCTCATCATGCCTTAGTAGGGCTCTCCTCCTCCCAGTAAGTGCAGGAGAAATCCCAAAGCCCACTAACCTGCCAAGCTCCAGGGTGAAAACACCAGGTGAGAGCTGCGAGTGTAGAACCAGAACGTCTGGGTTTGAATCTGCTTCTGCCCTGCGCAGGTTGTGGGATCACGATTGTGGGCAGTTAGCCCCCCTGTGCCCAGGGCCCTCTTCTGTTAAAATAGCGCCTCCCTCGTGGGGGTGTTGTGAAAATGGAGTGAGTCAGTAAGTGTAAAGCACGACCCTATCCCCATGCAGTCTGTGTGTTGGCAGACACTACGGAAGTGTTAGCTGTTACTACTATCCACAGCCCACGGATTTAATCTACATCCTGCCCCGTGTGCGTGCCACACATCCCTACTTTTCCTCATTATTCCCCAAGCTCACGGGACATCTGTGCCCCGCCCACCACCCTGGTCCCTTACCTGGAGGAGCTCCATCTTCGTCCGGGCGCTAACACCTGCCTTTCATTCTGGATCCAGATTGAGTCTCACCTCCTTTCAATGACTCTCCTTACTTTAGACTCCTAGTCTACTTCCTTCCAATGACATTTGTTTGGCACTTCGTGTATTGTTATCTGTCTTTGTATAAATATGCCCTGTCTTCCCAGTGAGATGAGAAGCCCCCAGTTCTGTATCTCCTGCCTACAATAGGTGCTCCGTAAGTGTTTGCTGATGATAATGATGAAGGCCAGGAGAGAATAAATCTGTTAAGCACGTTATTTGCTGCAGCCAATAAAAGAGCAGTCCCTTACAACCGCATTCCATTTTAATAATATTTAATAATATTTTATATTAATGGAAAATATTAATATTCTCTGACCATCATTTAGTGGTTCTCGTGTACTATTATTTGAAAGGAATAAATATATCATTTAAATTTTATTATTCAAGAAAATTGCCATTACTGTTTATGGATATCCACTACATACAAATTTAACATTCCAACTCGTCTGTTTTCTCAAAGCAAATCATTGCAGTTGCCATTAAGTGAGGCAGTTACAGAATTTTTAAATCATGTTTACAAAGAAAGAAAGCCAGAAAAGAGAAAAAATACTGAAAACAGCTTAATACTGATTTTAATGAGCTGGGGAACATAACGGGAGCAATGACAAAGACAGTAGGGAGGAAAAGGTCTGGGTTTTTTTTGCATGATGACCATTTCCTCTGACCTCTAGCCCTCAAAGCCGGGGCCTGCTCTTTCTTCTCTTTGTATCCCCAGGGCCAGACACAAGGGGTTAGAGATGGACGTGTGTCTTAGAGGTGGACTCTGCACAGCTAGCCAGCCAGACAGCCCACATTCAGGTCTTGAAAAATCGGATTCAACAGTGCTTTTCATGAGCGCTGAATAAATGTGTTCTGAAGAAATGAGTAAATAAATGATGAATGAATACAGCTGTATATTCAAGAGAACTGGCTGTGATTATACACGGTCCAAGCACGAGAAGGAGGGAATAAAAACTCAAGACAGTCAACTTGTTCTTCTGCATGTAACCAAACAACTGTCTAATCATCTCCTGTTCAGTCCCAAATAATAGATTGTTTTTAATGCTGTTAGGGTAAAGGGAAAAAATAGGGTAGAACACTGAGGGTCGGGGAAAGAAGCAGCTCAGAAAAAGAGAGCAGCATATTCAAAGGTCCTGGGGTAGAAAGAAGAATTGTATTTTCTAGCGGATAACAGAAGTCCAAGGTAGCTTGAATGTAAAAAGTGAGATAGTAAATGGCATCATTTGCAAATAACATAACAGGCAGAACTCAGATCAGACAAGGCATCATACACTATACTAAGAATGTATGTCTTCATCCTAGGAGCAACTGGAAGGCTTTGAAGAGTTTTTAGTGAACCAGTGAAATCATCAATTATGCATTTTGAAGAAATATGTCTGCAAGAAAAAAAGCACAGAAGCAGGGAGACTATCATTCATTCATTCAACAGATGTATTTATTCAGCAACTACTAAGTATTGGGCATATTCTAGGAATTGGGAATAAAGTACAGAGAATATAAACAAAAATTATTACTCTCATGGGGGAAAAATAAGGCAGAAAAGGGAAGACCTGGCCAAGGGAAAGGATTGGGTAAATTCTTCTTTTAATGAGGAAGTCACAGAAATAATCACTGAGAAGACATTTAAACAAAGACCTAAAGTGGATGAGGAGTCCTCCATGCAGAATACTGGGGACTGAGCATCCTAGACAGAAGAGCCAGCCAATGCAAAGGTCCTGAGGCAGGAACATGCTGGCTTCTGAGGAAACAGCAATGAGGCTAAGTTGGACTGGTGAGGAGTTAGCAAGGAGGAGAATAAGAGATTATGTCAGAGATAATAGGGCAAGATCATATAGGGCCTGGTGAGCCATTATGCAGACTTTGATTTTTACTTTGGTTGAGAGAGGAAGCCATGGAGGGTTCTGAACAGCGGATCAGTCTGACTGCCCTCTGTGAAGGGTCTGGGTATGTGGGGGCAGAGGCTGGGTTGAGGTAGGGGGGAGATTTGTTAGTATGGAGGTGGGTCCAGTAATCCAGACAAATGACGGTGGGGGCTTGGTCTAGGGGGTAGAAATGGAGGTGATAAAAAGAAGTAAGTGTTGGGGTGTATTTTAAAGATAGAGCCAAGGAGAGCTGCTGACAGATCGTGTATGTAATATAGGAGTAAGAGGGGAGGCAGGGCTTTTGGCAGGAATAGCCTGAAGGTTGAAGTAGCCATTAACTGAAATGTGGAAAATTGAGATGGAATACTTTTTGGGGGGAAAGGCCAAGAGTTGGGTTTTTGCATATGATGTATTTGAAGTGCTAGTAAGACCTCTCCTTTAATGGGATTGGGAGTGAGGAAGGAGCAGAGAAAGAGGGGACTCAGCTAACAATGAAATGAGGCCAAGAGGAATCATTGTTAAGGAGAAACGGATTCGGATCAGGTGGTCCAGGCAGAAGACCACGCAGGTGAGGTTCAGGTGGTGGCCGTCAGGTCCCTGATACTGCACGGTCAGCACAGAGGCACCAAGACAGGCCAGCTCCGCGTGGAGCTGCATCCACCAGGAGCAGGGCTCCCCTGGGATCCACCCAGGGTACCCCCGGGGCCAGAGGATGCCTGTGCTTTGATGGAGTTGGACGAGAGTATGTGAATTCAGACACACCTAGGAGGTGAAAATCAGCAGTGCTTGGTCAAAATGCTATAAGCAAACAAATCTAGGATAAAATACTTAGGTAAAACTCAGAAACAGGGAAGGTTTGTCAAATTTGCTCAGAAAGTGAAATTAGGAAATAGTTAATTTTTTATTAATCTCATGTATGCTGCTTTCAATTCCAGGGACACGGTAGAATATTTAAACCACCTGTGTAGAATATTTAAACCACCTGTGTAACGATACAATGCCTAAGTAAGGGAGGGCAGCATTTAGAAACTGTTGCATTTATTTGTGTACATATGGATATGTACGGACATGATCAATTTCTGGGAAAAGACGCTGCCAAATATTTAGAGTAGTTATCTCTCGATGGTGGGATTTCCGGTGACTTTCTTTTCTTTCTTTCTTTTTTTTTTCTTTCTGTTTACTTTCTAAGTTTTAATTATCGTATTTTATTTCACGACTTAAAAATCAGTTTATCCGTTTTGTTCCTCAAGAAGGAAAAGGAAAGAGGCAACAAAGACCGTGTGAGATGATTTACAGTTGGCCAGACTCTTGCTAGGTGGCTGGCTCCGTCTTCAAGCTAGGGGATGTCAAAGACTATTAACATGAAGATTCCAATTTCAGTTAAAAACGAGATAAAAAATTGATGTCTTTAAAAATCATAGATAAGAAATACAAGTTATGTTTGCTGTGCAGATTAATTAACAGCAGGATCTAGAATATTATATCAGTCTTTTTTTTTTAAAGATTTTATTTATTTATTTGACAGAGAGAGGGAGAGAGACAGCAAGAGAGGAAACACAAGCAGGGGGAGTGGGAGAGGGAGAAGCAAGCTTCCCGCTGAGCAAGGAGCCCAATGCGGGGCTCGATCCCAGAGTCCTGGGACCATGACCTGAGCCGAAGGCAGACGCTTAACGACTGAGCCACCCAGGCGTCCCTCAGTCTTTTTGAATATTGTCTGTCATTACTGGGGAGAAGCACGATGGAGAGAAAAACAGAATAATTGGTTGAGGCCAAGTGAGCTGGAGTGGAGGGGCAGTGAGGACTCGGGGGCCCGGGAAGTCCATCTTTCCTTTGATTTGCATTCGGATTGATGCAATCTCTAACCTAGAATAAAATTTTTTGTTTTCTTGGTCTCAGTGAAGCCACCCCAACTCCCATGTATTTATCTTTTGTAAATTATGTTTATTTTTAATATTGTATGCTCATGATTCTTTTATGTGCTGAATGTCACACTTTGCGGATGGCGTGAGACCATCTCTGCATCCTGCATTTATTTTTTATTTCACATGGTATTTCGTCAGTCTGCAGGCGTCTCCACAGTCCTATATTGTATATGTTCTCATCCTCCTTCCCAGGCACAGTCCCAGCTTGGATCATTTAGACCGTTTGCCACTTCAACATGAAGATGATGGTCACTGATGGCTCACTGTTGGTAGACTGTAAACTACTGTGGGCCCAGTGCTCTTAACCCTTCTGGTTCAGCATGCCATTGAACTAGTGAGTCAGAATTCAGAACAGCCATGGTATCGGCGGACAGCAAAGGGGGCAAGCCTGAGCATCAAGGGGGAAATCCTGAGCATCCAATGAAACCAAGAGCAAAGAAATGACAGTTTCTTTTCTTTTCCTTATATAGGAAGCTTACAGATTCGGTACAACCTGGGCGGCACCAGGGAGCCCTATAACATTGATGTAGATCATAGAAACATGGCCAATGGACAACCCCACAGTGTTAACATCACCCGGCACGAGAGGACCGTAATTCTCAAGGTATACATAATGTGCACACATCGGTTGTATGTGATACTGTATTATGTCTCTATCCTCTGTCATACTTGGATGCTGGTTTTGTTTTGGGTGGTTGGGATGGGCAGAAGAGATGCTTATTACACTTTCTCCTACAAAGTCCTAACCAGGGAAGTAGAAGGATATATCGCTACTAAAGGAAAGATAATGACGGAGTTAATGGTGAAGACGTTTCTTAGGGAGAAGGTGAATAAATGTTTACTAAGTATATTCTCTGTAGCCTTGCTGCTTTTAGGCTCACACATCTATCAGTCTCATGTTTTTATCTATCACACCATCTTTTTTTCTCCATGCTCTCAGATGTCTGAAGCTTATCCTGTTTCCCAGCAAAGGTTATTTTGGTTTATCTGACTTCTTTCGCTACTCCAACACAATATGAATTAACTATGGGCTTTTTTTCTCGGCGGATGCTTCACCGAAAAAATCCTCAAAACACAGACCTTCCCTAGAATCTCAGACTCTGGTTGTAGGCTTTCAGCACGCAAAGGGATGGTTTTATTATGACAGTCAAATTTTACTTCCCGTTCATTGATTGTCCCTACACCCACCAACTGATTTTCACAATGAAGAAACCAGCCTGGGAGGCACCATGAATAAAACATGGCATGAGGAATTCTCCCTGGGAACTAAGCCAAAAGATCAAGGATGGGAAGTGTCACTGCATTCTCTAGAAGGAGTTCAAAATAGGTACCTGTCAGGAAAAAGAATAGCAGGGGTATACTGTTTTGTCAGAGAGTGGAGTGCCATTTGGCGGGGGTTCAGCAGCCACTCAGACCTCATTCGGATTCGGCTGGTTGCAGTGGGAAGTTCGGGTTGCAAAGAAAAGGCACAAGTCCTGCCTATGTTTGAGCAGCGGTGGATGTCAAATTCATAACTTGATACGGAGTTTACGCTTGGCCTTTAGCAGGAAATGCTAGAGGGTATTTTAAGGACAGGTCTTTCCTAGGAAATTGACAACGTGCAGTTACAGTTTTTCCTACAATCAATCAAATATGTGTAAGTAAGTTTGCCTCTCGGTGGTGGGCAGAGTCCCTGGGCCTAGCACAGTGCCTGGCTCATCTTGGAAACTGCAGATTATTTCCTGAGCAAAACCAAGCCTATCTCGAACCATAACTCCAGGTTTATTCAGAATAGCCAGCAAGGCCAGGAGTGGTATAGTTTATATCATTACAGGAGTCCTGGGATGGTTTTATACCATTTTTTCAACATTATATGTATTGGCTTTTAATTAGAAACATTCTCTTGTCTTACCCCATGCCATCTGTCACCTCTTTTCAAGTGACATCTCTTGCCATTGTGGCATTACAGAATAATGTTAAAGTTAAAAAGAGCTCAACAGTCAGCTTTCAGGGCAGTGTGGTGCAGGAGGCCTACCTGAGCTGTGGAACCCTGCAGAGTTAGCTCTCCCTGTCTCCAAGAAAATGCTCTGTGTGTTAGAACTGAGCCTTGTGGGTGGGGAGCCACGGCCACAGAGGAGGGCCAGGTGGTAGAGGGGAGAGCAGATCTGACAGAGCCATTTCTGGGTATACTTCCCAAAATGAAGTCCAGCTTCTGGCACATTCTGCCAACTGGGGATTCTTTGGAACTAACCAGCAACTCTTTTTTTTTTTTTTAAGATTTTATTTATTTGAGAGAGAGAAAGCACAAGTGGGGGAAGGGGCAGAGGGAGAGGGAGAAGCAGGCTCCCCACTGAGCAGGGAGCCTGTCTCAGGGCTCCATCCCCAGGACTTCAGGATCATGACTTGAGCTGAAGGCAAACACTTAACCGACTGAGCCACCCAGGAGCTCCCTACCAGCAATCCTTTAAAAACAAATATCAGTTTAATGAGAGCTGCTACCTGCCACAGAGTTATAGATTGCCCTGAAGACGGGGAGAGGGATAGGCTATTTTAGGAACTTGGGGCTTTCGAGGCATGGAAAGCCAGAGAAGTCTAGATAGGGGATGGGCCAGAGAACGCAGGGAGTCCAGGAGACTGAGGAGGGCTTCGGGGAGAGGCCAGTTCTATTGCTCAGAGTTCTTATGGTTGCACATGACAGAAAACCAATTCAGAATTCATTTGTAGGGAAAATTCCTAGTGTAGGTTATAGAATTTAAGAAAGGGCAAACTACAGTTTTGGAAGAAAATCCAGGAGACCTGGAGGATTACAAGAAAAACTAGAGGCTGTTGACCCTGTCCTGCCCCTCCCTCCTTCATGCCTCAATCCCTCTATTATCTCTGCTTGTCCACCCCTCTTTGAGGACTGGATTAATACCTCTTCCTGCAGGCTCCCTCTGTTACATATCATGGAATGCAGACACAGGAGCATGGGGTGGGCTCGGGTCTCAGTTCTGCTACCAGAAGAAAGCCTCTTGGTTCTCATTTTAAAACCTCAGGGAAGGTCTATGACTGGACTGGCTTGAGTTGTGTGTTGCCCTATTGGCAGGAGGGAGAACGATGATCAGCAGCCCCAATCAGACGCTTAGAGTGGGGAAGTGGGGAGAATCCTCCAAAAGAATAGGAACACGGTTCCAGAAATAGAGACATGAGAGGTGTGAAAACACGGGCTGCGCCACACTTTGAGGTTAGGAACTGCACAGAAGTGGGAAGCGCTCCAAAATCATGGACAAAATTCTGCCATAGGAATTGTACCGAGGGTAGTGAGGGTCCTGCCCTCTCTCCTCCTGTCATTTGAGCAAGGCAATTGCACCGAAAGTTCTGGATGTATTTGGAAAGCCAGACGCCTCAACCCATGTGAATTCAGCTAGGAAAGACCTCGTGGCCTCTGGTGCTCTCAGCCTCTCCAACCCAGCTCAGATGGAAAATAGGATGATGTCAGAAGAAAAAAGATAGGGCCCCTCCTTATGGAAAAGTAGGTCCGACAGACCCCCTGCCCTGCTTTCTTTCCAGCGGGGAGACCTTGTGGAGAATGCAGGTAAATCCGAGGGTACCTTTAGAACTCTGGAAAACACTGACCTTTTTTCTGAAAGCAATCTACAAATCCATCTTAAGAACTTCTACAACCTCAAGAATGTGTGGGAGAGATATAGGAAAATGTTCATCATGATTACTTCTGTGTGAAGAGATTGTAAGTGGTTTGACTTCCTCTAGAGTTTTCTGTATTTCCTCATTTTCTCTTATAAGCACGTGCTGCATTTTTTTTTTTGGTACGCGTTACATGTTTATAATCAAACAAAAATATGAAACATACAGATATCTTCAACCCACTCCGACAGCCCCCAGTGGTATAACATAATATAATGACAAAGATATTCAAATAATTTCAAATTAAAATGCACCTCTAATCAAAGAACAAAAATAAGGCTAATTCAACCATGAGTATAAAATGCTATGGAATGATGCCTCTGGAATTAAGGTGAAATTTTATACATTTATATATACTCACAAACAGCACATCATTCCAACGATGTTTATCAGTGTTTACGGTGTTTTTAAAAGAAGGTTTACTTTCCTAGCTGGTTTTGGCTAAAGCTAACATTAAATTAATTTGCATTCCCTGAGCACATACTCAGGGAAATGGTGCTGAGCCCTTGAGGGAAATTGACCTTGGATGAAACATTTGCTGCCAAAACACAAAGTGACCAATCTCCACATAGATAATGAGGAGCTGACTCTAGGAGTCATCAGACACCGGAGTGAGCCAGAGCCTGTGACAACCCTCAAGTGGCGTCATTTATGAAAACTCACAGTTGCACCAGGGATAATAGCTGAAGGCTTACCGCCAGTCGAGATATAAGACAAACCCCGGGCAGGCAGAGAGCACCTGAGAAAGTACTGTATGCAATGAAAATTCATGCCAATTAGATGACTCCAAGACCCAACATCACGAGGAATAATTTCAAAGTCTTGAGTCACAAAGCCCTTCTTCTCGCTTTCCTTCCTTCCTTCCGGCTGTCCCAAGATTGTTTCTGCTCCCTTACCTTCTTTTTGTCCCCCATCCCACTGCTCAGGGGACATCAGGTGACTCGCAGGAAGTCTGAACAATAACATAGGGAATTGAAGTAAGTCCCAAAGGTCTATGTATATTTCTTACATGCCCTGGGTTATATTTACTGGCATAGGAAGCTGCCACATAGCATGGTCCACTTGGGCAATGTCACGTCCATGATCATAGCTCACATTCATGGGTGCTTACTGTGTCCTCGGCACTGAGCTAAGGATGTTAAACATGTCCTCTCATTCAGTCCTCACCAGAACCATATCAGATATGCAGCGTTATGATCCCCATTTTAGAGATGTGGAAACTGAAGCTCAGATCATCCGACATAACTCGCCTCAAGGTCGAGAATGGGAATCTGCGAAAGCACAGATGGACATAGGTCAGTCACATTGCAGTTCACGTGTGCTCCTAACCATCACTTAATAGCGAGGTGTCTGGAAGGATGGTCACAAGGCTTTGAAAGTGGATTCCTCCAGGGGCACCTGGGTGGCTCCATTAACTGAGCATCCAACTCTTGATTTCAGCTCAGGTCTTGATCCCAGGGTCCTGGGATCGAGCCCTGTATCGGGCTCCCCATTCAGTGGGGAGTCTGCTTGGGGATTCTCTCTCTCCCTCTGCCCTTCCCCCTGCTTGCACATACGTGGCCGCACCCTCTCTCTAAATGTTTAAATATTTAAAAAAAATTAAAAAGGAAGTGGATACCTGTGGCCAGTAAGAAATTGAGTGATAGGGGCACCTGGGTGGCTCAGCCGGTTAAGCGGCTGCCTTCGGCTCAGGTCATGATCCCAGGGTCCTGGGATCGAGCCCC